ACACACACACACACACAGACTCACTCTCTCACACACACACACACAGACACACACACACACACTCAGACACACAGACACACACACACACTCAGACAGACACACAGACACACACACTCACAGAGAGAGACACACTCACTCACAGACTCACACACACACACACTCACCAGAAATGAAATGCGGTGTCGTAGCACCTGCTAATGATAATGTTCCACTGACCCACAATACACTGTAAAGGCAGAGAAATATGACACTTAAAAGTTCAAGTCTATCATCATCACACCTGCTCATCCTTGAACAACGCTGAAAACACTCGCTCAGCTCACAGATGACAGTGAATAATGGGAATAAAGCACTCATTCTGTAAAGAACGGATGCTCCAAAGCATTCAGCGCAGAGATTCGTTTCAACGGGTCGAACGTCAGCATTTCCTGTTGAGACAGAAGAAAATAAGAGTCAACAAAACGCTACTCATTTAGTTACTGTGTGCAGCAACCCGTCAAACAAACATTCAAATTAGTGTTATTCAGTATCACTATTATATATACTACTATAGTTTTTATTATAGTTTTTTAATATTATATTTTTATATGTTCATCTTAATTTTAAAGTTTTAGTAATTTTGGTGTTTTTATTATTTTTAGTCGTTTTAGTATTTCAAATGAAAGAAAATTAGAAATTATGTCTTTACAACCAGCTGGAATAATTACATACATTCTTTTATTTCAGTTAATTTATTTTAAGTAACGAAAACAGTTTTCAACGATATTAACCCAGATTCAAAGGAGATTTTGAAGTGAGAATCTGAGAAAGTAATGTTGATCACACACACACTGACTGTTGTTTTGTTGCTTTACTCTGGTAAAACTGTAGCTGTATGTGGAGTGACACTGAATGTAAACGCACCAGTAAGAGCTCCGCCCCCTTCTCGCTGATCTCAGGAAGGCAGTCTGTGATTGGCTGAGGGGCTTGAGGGCTGAAGTTCTGCCGGGACAGAGTGACATCAGTGGGCCACTCGTCTTCAGCCGGCAGGCCGATCACTCTGTCAATCACATGTGGATTTAATAAAGCAATGAAATACTGTCTCTGTGTCAATGAACCTTGTGTTGAGTCTGACAGCCATTACTGCTGACGCTCACGTAATGAGAGATGTTTGCTAATGATGATAGCCTCTCTAACATGAGCGTGTGTGTTTACATACGCAAAAATCTTGCTCAGCTGGTCCACCTCTGAATCTCCACAGAAGAGAGGTCTGAAAGATGAGACGTCACATTACAAATCATTAATGACCAGTCAGTGAATGCACTAATCAACAGACCTGATGGGAAAATCGGGATTAGAAAGCCAGCCGTTAATCAATGCTTTATCAAAGCTTTCACAAGAATGCTTGCAGATTTAAATTCTGAGTGGATGAGCCACATTCAAAGCGGCTGAGAAATATGCAATACACTGCTGTGTAATATATAACCTGGCTCTCTGATTAATGAAATCGCTCTGATAAATGTAAATGCATCGGCATATGTCCATAAATAATGTATTTCAGATTCTTTTACTTCATTAAACAGGCTAACTGCAAGTTTTAAATACTCAAAGACATGTTTTATTTAATATCTGTGAGCCTGCAGCACAAAAGCAGTGTTAAGTCGCTGGGGTATATTTGTAGCAATAGCCAACGATACATTGTATGGGTCAAAATTATACATTTTTCTTTTATGCCAAAAATCATTAGGATATTAAGTAAAGATCATGTTCCATGAAGATATTTTGTTAATTTCCTACCGTAAATATATCAGAACTTAATTTTTGATTAGTAATATGCATTGCTAAGAACTTCATTTGGACAACTTTAAAGATGATTTTCTCAATATTTAGATTTTTTTTGCACCCTCAGATTCCAGATTTTCAAATAGTTGGATCTCAGCCAAATATTGTCCGATCCTAACAAACCATACATCAATGAAAAGAGTGACAGCTTTTAATGATTTTTAAGGGAGTTTGTAAATGTGATACTGATTTAATACAAAGCAGTTCAATAAATAAGAAGTTAATATTAATTGGCTTACATTTTAGACACAACAGTTCCTGTATTTGCTCTAATTCATCAATGAAAATAGTTTCAAACAAAGCCACAGCTGAACTGTTTTGAGTCTCTGAGCAACACAATAGTGTTTCGTTACTGAATCAATCAGCCGTTTGAACGAATCGCTTGAATGAATGACTCAGTGACTCACTCATGCAGTGAATTTAGCTTTATATTGAAAGTGTATTTTCCCTTTTTCCCTAAATCATTTCAAATATTAGTATTCAATGTTTTGTTTTGTAACTGCTTTCATGTCCTGCATTAAACAGTCTGTGAGAAAGCATCTAAATGCCACTTCAGACACAGATTCTGTTCCTTTGCACTGCAAACACAGATTGTGTTGATACTGATTTCATTTGATTGCTAACAGCCCTGTAGCATCTTACTATTTGAATTGAATTTATTGATTAAATGTACGAATTTGACTAAAAAGATGACGCATACATTTAATTAAGTTAGAGAAAATTGGTCTTGTGAAGGTAAAAATGCCCATAAAAGGTCAAAATCTATTTAAACTTATTGGAAAAGTTCATTTCTGTTGCTGCTGCAAACTATCCACCGCACAGAATATAAAGAATATATGAAGAAGCTTTGGTAGTCAGATGTCCACGGCAGTCATAAACCTGCCAAAATACCAGCACAGTAACACACTCAGAGAAATATCATCTGATTATCATTATCGACAAAACTCTACAAAATATCAAGATATCATATTTTGTTATCTGTGTGTGTGTGTGTGTCTGTCTGTGTTTGTGTGAGTCTGTTTGTGTCTGTCTGTCTGTCTGTGTGTGTGTGTGTGTGTGTGTGTGTGCATGTTTATGTGGTTTATGAGGACACAAATTTGTGTAATGACATGGGTATGACACAGGTATTACAATGTGAAGGTGATTTATGAGGACTTAATTTAATACCGGACCAGTAATTTAAAAGGCTTACAAAACATACTAAATGGTGTTTATTTTTGAAAATCTAAAAATGCAGAAAGTCTCCTGTGAGGGGTAGGTTTAGGGGTAGGGTTGGTGTAGGGCAATAGAATATACGGTCTGTACAGTAGAAAAACCATTACGCCTATGGAGAGTCCCAGTAAACCACATATACCAACATGTGTGTCTGTGTGTGTGAGTCTGTGTGTGTCTGTGTGTGAGTGAGTGAGTGAGTGAGTGAGTGAGTGTGTCTGTGTCTGTTCTGTACCTGACGATGTTGGGATGGTCGAACTGCTCGAGTCGTTTGAGCAGTGCCACCTCTCGCACCGTGGACAGAGGAAGGCCGTCCTGATTGGTCTGCACTCTCACACTCTTCAGAGCCACAAACTGCCCGCTGTCTCTATCTCGAGCCTTGTACACCGTCCCGTAAGCGCCACCGCCGATCTCCGCCACCGGCTCGTACTGCGCCGCGCTCTCCTGCGCCATGACCTGCAGCAAACCACACGCCATGACACGGCTCTCTGTGACCGCTGAAGGACACCAAACTGTGTGACTTAGGGTTTGTTTTTTAAACTCTAGTCTGGGGAACCCTAAAAACACTGTTTTGAAAATGTCTGTACTTCTATTGAGAGAAATATATAGTGTTCACTTAATAGAAAACGTTTAAACATTTTACAGTATAAATGGGGGTTTGGAGAGTTTAGAATGAGAATACAGATCTGCCACTGTATTTCAGGAAGGGCATCAGTGGCTTTAAAAAGTTTGGGAACTCACTGTATAACTGACCATTGTCCCAGACGGCTGCTTGGATACTTGTTGGACTGTGCAAAAAACATGCATTTACCATGGTGTTTTATATTAGTGAACACTGTACCCTGGTAGAGTACAGCTGATGTGGGTTTGGCCTGTAACAGTCCCACTCTCGCAGGATGAGAGACGCCACATCCGCCGACTCTTCAGAACACGACATCAAACGAAGCGACATTACGAGTGATACACACACACACACACACACACACACACACTCACCACGTTTCTTCTGCTCGCGTGTAGCGCTAGTTAAACTAGTTTAGAAGAGTACAGCGCGCGTCTCATCTCTTACTCCGTCTGCCGCGCTTCAGAGGTGTCCTGCTGGCTTCTGTAGTGTGTGTTGTTGCGCTCAGCTGATATTTGATGAGTTTATTTCATGAAAGAGTGTGTGTGTGAAACTCTGGCCTGTTCTCAGTCTGTCTCCATTCACTTCCTGTCTGATCTCAGGGCGGAGCGACACGATCCGACCTCCAATCACCTCACCTCTATAACTTTAACTATTCACACAATAATAACAGACTTTATCATTAAACTGCTTATTCACATTTTAAATGTAAAACTCTTTGGTAATAGGCACATTAAGCTAGTATTTTGTTTCTCTACCCTGCATGTATGTAATATTTTTGTACTTTATTTTATCTTGGCTTGGCATTAAAATGTATAACTAATGTAATGTGTGTGTGTATATTGTAATGTAAATTATTACATTAAAATGAGTCATAAAATTAGTGAAACTCTTATAAATTTTAAGAGTAAGGAGTTTAAGAATTAAATCTACTAAATGTCATGTCATTACAAATCTAAAAGATTTTTGTGTTTCTTGTAAACACAAATTAAAATATTTTAAATTAAACCTGTCCCCCTGTTGAAAGTCCATGTAACCAAAGCTATGGCACTTCAAAAAGTTCATAAAGACATAGTAGCTAATAGAATTCAGAATCAAATGTTTAATCCAAGAATTAATGTAAGTTTTTATTCCCATATAATGCTGATCAATGCACATACATACAGCTCATTAAATAAGGTCAACAAAATCTCAAACAAAAAAGTCAGGAGACTTGGATTAAACGGCTTGATTCGTGTGTCTTTATTACTGGATTAGTTTTACAGTGCCTTAATAAACTTTTTGAAGCATCAGAGTTTTGGTTGCATGGACTTTCAATGGAAGGACAGAAATCTCTCAGATTCCATTAGAAATGTTTTCGTTTGTGTTTCAGAAATGAACGAGGACGGGTGAGTGAACGATGACAGAATTCTTATTTTGAGTGTCACAAGCAAACACTACAATGATGTAGGCACAAAATGGTTGGCTCCTAAAACAATATAGGACTATACACCAACAATGAGTCTAAAGGATAATATGGGATATGCTTTACACTATTTATTCATGATTTAATAGATTGCACTGATTACTTTGAAAATCAGTTATTTCTTCATGAGAAATAAAGGAGAAAGCATAATATTATTTCCTGCATCTCACTGACACCTTGCCCAATGTTTAGATCCAAATAATGTGCAAACTAAAGTCTATAAAACAAATATAAATGTAGGCTTTATAATGTGTAAAAAAAAAAGTTTGATCCACACAATCAAAACAAAAAGCAACTGTTTGTTCACAAATTTAATGCAGCATTCATAATTTTGAAGATATATGCACAGATGAAGCATTCACAAAGAGACCTGTAACATGCATTAAGAAAATGAACAGGGTCCATTTGGATTTCATGCATAATTTCATAGTACAGATACCATATCAATATATTAAAGTAAAAGTCATCCAACAAAATACTACTTAAATCAAATCTACCATTCATCTTTTAAAAAAGGGACCAACCCATGGTCTGATGAACCTCAGCATCACGTCTGTACAAAACCACCTGGCATCTGCACAATATCCCAACAGTGAAGCATGATGGAGGGATCATCAGTGAGTGGCTTATTGACTCCTCAAATGGCGCTTTTCCACTGCGTGGTACGACACGGCACGGCTCGGTTTGCGTTTCCACTGCAGTTCAGTA